GCTAACTGAGAAGTAAGTTTTATAAGATATTGTGGGCCCTTTTTCAAATATGAGAACACATTTTATTCTATTAATGCTTTGTCATTCTTTGGAGTTTCATTTATGTTAAATATCATAATATAGCATTCAGATATTTACTGGACCAAACCCAAGAAAATAGCATTTTAGTTTGGCATGATAGATGATTCCAACCATTTTGGTTTTAAATCATAATGTAAACCTTTGCATTGTGTTGTGGAAACTGTGTCGGTTGTGGCTTACTCAATAAACCATGGATAAATTAATGTGATACATGAATGCAGCCATCATGTTGTTTAGCAAGCATTTTTTATAAAGTGTGCCTGAAGTTGGCTTGTCTCTGTTACCTATAATTGAATTAATACAGTTTGGATTTGAATGTCAGTAGAAACTGCATTTAATGGAAATGGAAATAAACTTCTGAATTCCTTACAGTTACACTAGAGACGTATTGAAAAATCTTTATTTAATATGGAAGTACTGAATGTAAACTTTTTTTATATTCATAGAAAGATGATATTTGTCATAAGTAATAACTAATTTTAGTGCAACCTTTTTTTTCTGTTCAGGTTACTGACTGAACTTTGTAGCAAGCACATTCATACCCTTTTCTCTCCACGAACTGTCCTGGAAACCATTGTGGTGCTTCGCCAGATAAGCACCCATTGCCATCATGTGTCATGTCAAGTCATTTCAGTTTGTGAAACCAGATATAAACAGTGGATAAACAAGTCACTGAGATCTCGCCAACGACTTACCTTTCTGCGCATGAGAAGAAGGTGGGAAGTATCTTACTTTTAAGAGAATGAGACTTTTAACAGAAGGTGGTTTTAAAATAAACTATCTAAGAAAGCAATTTTAATACTGTACAGAACTACATTTTTGTAACACTGACCTGATCCTTCCAAAGTTAATATTATTAATTGTCATGAAAGGTTCTCATTGAAATGAGTGAGATTTAGCGGTATGTTAATGTAGCTAGAATATCAGCATATTGCTAGGGAAATCTGGGTTCATTCAGCTGATGCTGACTGGTCTTCAGCTAATAAACAAATCCCAATCTGATTTGTTTAGGAATAATGCCTTGAATTTTTAGCAGAAAAACGGAATATAGATTTAATAAATGGTAACATTTGTGGCTAATTTGGAACAGAATGCGAGCTTAATAAGAGCAACTAATTAAAATATTATTTTTAAAAAAATTAAGGGGGAAAGCTGATAGGAAGAGATTTTCAAACAGCACATATATATATTCCTGCCAGTTGGCAATTTCAACTAATTGCTATTCATTTAGCTTATGCCTCTTTTTATACTGTATGTTCTCCAGATGCACTTCCTGGCTTTATTATTTTGGATCCATGTAATATTATTTTAGTGTTAAATGTTTTAGATGTATATTTACTTACTTGCTTTATTTTTTCTTCCAGTATCAAATTTCTGTCCCCAGTTTTGCAACTCGTTTTAATCTTGATTACCCTGGAGCTAGGGAACATTCATATGATTTGCAGAAAAAATACTTTTGAATGTCAGAAGTACTTAAAGTGAGTATAATGTTCTTTTCTTGCAAAATATTCTAGCATTAGATGTTTTTTTCATTAGCAATCATCTAACTGGTAATTCCCAGTAATTTACAATTCTTTGCTTTCTTATATCATTCTATTTGTAAAAGCACTCTGTCTCTAAAGATGCACGTTAAGGATATCATTGCATTTAAAATATATTTCTTCACTTGTTGTTCTTGCTGCTGTTTTTTTCTTTAAATAGCTGCTTGGACTGAATTGGATTTAGAACTATGGTATATATAAAACATGATATTTTTAAAGCTATGAAATGGTACAAATTCAATGCTGTCACAGTTTTGATGTAATATTTGAATGGCACTCATTATTTAAAACTGCAGCCCTACACATATTTTAATCAGCAGGGGAAGATACAGTGAGAAACTGCAAACTGACTATTCAAAAGGGAGGGATGCAAGCTGCTGGCTGATCTTATTTTCTATTTGCAGACTAACTAAGAAAGCAACAGTAGTTCTTTTAGCTAAACATATTGCTTTTAAATGCCAAGGCAATTATTTTATAAGGTACATCATCATTTTCTAATCTAGCCAACAGTAAGATATGTGGGCTTCAGTTCTCAGCATGCTTAGCATTGACCATATTGAATGGGGAATTCTGGGAGTTGAAGTCCATATATCATAAGGTTGCCCAGGTTGAGAAATATCCAATATTTGTTCCTTTTCGAGATTGGATGACAGAAAGAAGAGTTACTGCAGACTTAAACTAGACAGCAGGGAAGTGGAGCTAATGCTATGTAGGAATTCATTCCTGCCCCCTGTTGTGTGCAGGCTTCTGAATTTGGGTGTCTGGGACAATGTAAGAATATTGACAGTGTACTATCTACCCCCTAGCCTAATATTTTGCCTACCTGAACTAGTAGAGTTGATCTAAGACAGGGGTGTCAAATTGCCAGCCCGTGGGCCGGACGCATCACCAGGAAACCGTGCCCACCCCATTGCCGGCAATGGGGAAAAAGCTCTGATACGTCGCACGATGTCACGTGACATCACGAGTTTGACATGTCTGATCTAAGACAAGATGTTGGTGGGGCATCTTAGATAGGATTTCATTGTCCATGTAAAGTTTGCTCAGGTGTGACTAAGGATTTCACATTCTGTACAGTGCTCAAGGTCCTATTACAATGAAGTATTTGGTCTCATGATTGCATGTAGCTTGTGTACCACAGGTTGCTAATTTCCTGATTTGTGGTGTTCCATAGGGTTCTGTCTTAAACCACATGTACTTCAACATGTAGCTTCTGTAGGAGGCTTGGAACCATTACTATGCTAATAATACCCAAGTCTACTGTTATTTATCACACAGCTCCAAGGAATCAGTAACCAGCCTTTTCTATTAATAAAACTTCTTAAAGAAAAATAACAAATCCAGACAAGGAAGAGAGTTGTTAGTAAATAAACTGGATCTAGGATAGGATACCAATTGTCTTGGATAGATGTACTGTCTCTGAAAAGATGGGAGAAGTCTTGGAGCCTTCTTTAGCTTCTCTTGTGGCTGGATCTGTAGGTTGTACCTATGGTAAGGAACACATTTGTCAAATATGCATATTATCCCAACTACCAATGTTCTTTAGTCAGTCAGATTTGGGGATAGTCACATCCCTTGAGAACTGCAACACTCATGATGTGAGGCTGTTTTGGGAAAATGAAGCTTGCAAGTGATACAAAATGCCGCAGCTAGTCTAAGTGGTATAAGGATCACATGATGCATAAATTGAAAGATCTGAACTGATGATAAGTTGCTTTACCAGGCAAGTTGTAAGGTTTTGGTATTGACCTTCAGTGCTCAAACAGCTTAGGATCTATGTAAGGATCAGTTCTTCATTATAAATCTTTGTGGCGAAGGTTGTTGAGAGTGTGGTTGCGCAGCAGTTCCCCCGACACCTGGAGGAAACAGTCTATCTAGACCCGCTCCAGTCGGGCTTCAGACCGGGATACAGCACGGAAACGGCATTGGTCTCATTGGTGAATGATCTCTGGAGGGCCCGGGACAGGGGTTATTCCTCTGTCCTAGTTCTTTTGGACCTCTCA